TATGGAGGGGTTGGTGGCAATATGTATCAAGAAGAATCAGACGTTGAAGAAATTGTTTATAGGTTACCTAGGAGTGCTAGTATTGTAGGCTATGATCGTATAGACCTATTTCTTTGAGAGAAATGGGTCTATAACACTCTAAGAAAAAAGAGATAGTTAAAGGGATAATCAGGCCCGCCATAACCCGCTTTGCGACCAATTACACATGTTGGGGATAATATGTTGGCGAGATATGTTGGTAAATAGTTCTACGATAAAGGGATACCCTTTGATGCAGCCAATAACCCATATTTTCCACTTATGGTCAGTGCAATCCAGAGAGCCGGGCACGGGGTAAAACCCCCGACGGTATATGAGCTCAGTGGGCCAATATTAGATGAAGAGGTGGAGGAAATTATAAAGTGGATTGAAGAATATAAACAGAGTTGACTAAGGACAGGCATTACTCTCATGAGTGATGGTTGGTTGAATAAAGTTAGCAAAAAAGAGTTTTTAAACTTCTTGACCTATTCCCCAAAAGGTACAGCTTTTTTGTCTAACAAAGACGTATCATGGACGAAGAAGGATGCAAACTTCTACGTACGACTATATGACAGATAGTGGAGGAGGTGAGAGATAAGCATATAGTCCAATTTATTACGGACAATGCGCGTGCATGTATTTCTGCGGGTAGCAAGTTGATGGATAAGAAGAAGCATCTAGTATAGACCCCGTGTGCTGCACACAGCATCAATCTTATGTTAGAGGAGATCGGTGAGATCAAAATTGTGAAGGAGACTCTAGAGGAAGCAAGGTTCGTGTCGAGATTTATATACAACCACTCTAAAATTTTATTTCTGTTTAGATAACACTCTAAGAAAAAAGAGATAATCAGGCCTGCCATAACCCGCTTTGCGACCAATTATTTAGCTGTGGACTCCATTCGAGAATCTGAAGGTGCATTAAAGATATTGTTTACCTGTGAAGAGTGGTTAAATGATCGCCCCGGTATAAAAGTGGACGGCATAGTCTCAAATAGGAGGTTTTGGTCTTGATGTTCCAGTGTCGTAGAGGCCACTGCCCCTTTGGTCATGGTGTTAAGAATGGTGGATGCTGACAAGAAAGCTACCATGGGCATCATTTATGAATGTATCGAGAGGGCGAAATCAGCTATTGGGGAGAAGTGTAGTTTTGTTAGCAAAGTGATAGAGATTATAGAAAGAAGGTGGAACACCAAATTTGGACGTCCAATTCATTATGCTGGTAAATATATATTTATATCATTAGAATGTTTCATTTTAAATCATTTTTATATTAAATTGTGAATGACATTTTTCTATCTATATATTTTCTAGGTTATTATTTCAACCCAAAAGTTTTCTATTTGACAACTGAACATCCCTACAAGATTATGGAAGTGATCAGATACATTATTGCAAAGTTGGAGAGAAGCCATCGAAACTAAGTAGCAACAATACAAGAGGTATTATTTAATGTTTGGGTAAGAACTTCATTGAGTTGTTATATTTGTGAGGAATAATGCATTAAAACGAAATATATTTGTTTTATCTTGCTATGTATAGGGATGTTATAGGATCCTTTGGAACTCGACTTGCCAGGAATTCTCGAACTAAGATGGATCCAGGTTATCCCCTAGCTAATATTTTGTTCATTCATATATTTAATCTTATGAATTGTTCTTGTCCTTATAATGTTTTTTGCATTTTAATCCAGCTGAATGGTGGGAGATATATGGTACTGATGCACCTCACCTAAAGAGGATATCAATCAAGGTGCTCTCCTAGACATGTTCTGTTACTGGATGTGAGCGCAACTAGAGTACGTTCCAATGGTTGCACACTACTTGGAGGAATCGACTCGCTTCGGAGAAGCTTCATAAGCTAGTTTACGTTCATTACAACTTAAACCTCCGAGAGCGACAAATAAGAATGAAACGTTAAGACTATAGGCCGATAGACTTAGACACAATATTTGTCACACACACAGCAGACCAATGGGTAGTAGAAGAGGAGGAGCCAGTGTTGCACAATAGAGCATTCACTGAGGCTATCGGTGAGGAAGATCTTGAAGAAGGTGATGAGCAGCATGAAAGAGGAAGTAGCTAGCCAACGTATCCACAATTCGTCGAAGATGTTGGTGATATTGTACCTAATGAGGGAGAGTGGGAAGGGGGTCTAAGGAAAAATGAGAGAGATGATGATTCTGAGGCCACCCTTTCCCAACCATATTATTCACATACCGAGTCCCAACAACAACAGGGTAGGGATGAGCACGGCAGTATAGGTGAGCATGAAGGATGGACAAGCTTCGAGGATTTTGGATTGGAAACACAACAGAATACTAACACTCAGGGATTTGGGTATAGTCAAACGCCTGCTAATATCGATGATTCGTTTTTTGATTGAATCAATGAATTGTCAAACGAATTCAATCAATGGCACCAGCGTGACCAATAAAAAGAACAACGTCGTCTGTCATTTTATTTTTAGATCATATGTTACTAATTGTATGCTTTATTGTAATCTATGCATGTTGATATACTTATTCCATGATAATTATATGTTTATCCTTTTGTGTGATGTAAATTAAATGGTAAATAGTAGTTCATGCAGGGAAAGAACGTATCAATATTTGCATATTCATTCAAAGAAATGAAAAATTTTAATGGAGCACCCTCATTTCTTATTGAATTCCTAAAAAACAATATTTATAATGAATTTTAATAATTTTTTCAGATTTTTTTGAAGCTTTAATCTGACCGATTCAGCCGATTACCGATCCGGATCGATTTTTGAGGTGCCCGATCCGGGTCACCGATCCGCTTTTTAAACCATTGCTCTAAACAATTGGATTTGACATGGATAGGATTAGTTGTGATCTTTTTGTTTCAAAGATAAATAATATTATAGTATATAGTTCCTTACAACTAATCCATGTGACCATGTATTTTTTTATGGGTATTTTAAAATTAAAGAAAAACCTTTAGTAAAATGTTAAATAGTTCATATCTTATAGTTAATTGAATAAATTCCCTTAGAATATTGAAGTGATTCAATGGGATCAATAAAGAGTACTCGACAGAGTTGAGGGACAAAAGAACTTCGCAATGGACAAGAAACGATCAAACACGGCAATTGGCAATAAACAATTAATGGGGAAGGAATCATTAATTGCAAATATAGACTCTTAGTATGTAAATTGCACCACTCAATCATCGTATGATACTGTGAAATATGTTGGCCAGATCATTAAATGATTTTTATTTTTAATTCTCAAAAGAATAAATTTGAATTTTAAGTTTGTTATTTAACACTTCGATCTCACCATTAAAAAAGTAGACGGATTCTATTCAATCTTGAGACATTTTTTTCAAGGAAAAAATTTATATAAGGTTGCAATCTTTAATGTAGAGCAACGGATGCACCTAAAAAATCCATCGGAAAATGTAGTTTTATGTTGAATAACCCTTTGATTGATCATCTCGACATCGAGATGTATCACCATGAAAAATAAAAAGATTTTAAATCTCAGAAATAGTGCATTTTACAACATATTATCTACACCGTCCATTTTCATGATTTTTATATGTTTATAGATCTACTTGATTTTAACCATTTTTTAAATTTAAAATTTTATAATTAGATATAAAAATAAATTTTGAGATAATCCTAAGAATATTTTCCATTAAAAAATGATAAAATTTGAAGGCGCACCTTACGTCTACAGCTACGGATGCATCCGTATGCCTGCTGCAGCCTTTTTTCAACTACATGGAGGTTGCATCTAAGAAATTTCTTTTATTGAGGTTAACACTATACGTTGAAGAGGTTACATCCTCAAATTTTGAGGTCCTAAAATTAATCCTAAAAGTGGTTTGACCTGAGGAAGTAAATGTATAGTATACTATTGTAGAAGCATAATTTCATTTGGGGGATTAAAAAAAATGGGCGAGTTTAACTTGAGGTGAAGTAAGGCCCATTTTTAAATTATATATAATGAGATCATTTTCCTTTGATATAAGGTGATCACAATTGCCCACAACCATCTAATGTAAAAATTGATAATTTAGATGTGTCATAGAGTTCGAAATTTTTTTTTTTTGAAATTTGAGCTTAGTCCATGGAATACATGCACCCACTCAATGTTACATCGAGCGATCAAGATTAATTGTGATCATCTTTTACTAAAAGAAAATGGTCTTATTTTATATTTTTTGTCAGTTTTAATGTGAAAAATTATGATAGAGTAAAAATCTATTTCCACCCTTAATTATAAAATTTAATTTTTTTAAAAATATATAGACCAAGAAGATCTATAAATACTTAAAAATCTTAAAATTAGATTACCTAGATAACCCGTTACAAAATGTACTATATTTAGAATTTGAATATATATATATATGTCGAGTCGTGATGATCAAGGGTCTTCCAACATTGCAACACTCTTTTTTGTTGGATTTTAAGGCGTGCCTTACTTGCAAACTATAAGGGTGATACCCTATATAGATTTTTTTTCTTATGATATAGTTGAATTGTTAAATTGTAGGTAATTTGATAAGTTTTCTTAAAATTAATTATGTGTTCTATTATTGTAGATTAGAATGTCCATTTACGCCCCCGAGTAAAATCTCACCATAGATTTTATTTCAGGATATCAAATTTTGCATATGTAAATTCTTCAACCATAGATTAACCTAAACGATTTTTATTTTTATTTGAATTGTACCTTCTATGCTCTTGAAAAAATAATGTCCCGAAATTGAATAGAGACCGTCAAATGTTTAAAGGATAACATCTTAAGTGTTAGAGAACTTATTTTTAATTTTTTAAAAATAATTATCTAGTAATTTTTAAAATAATTATTTTAATTTACTGGCCACATAGTGGAAGTAAACGATACTTCCCCGAGTGGAAGAAATAAACAATGCTCCCGAGGGAGCATAGTATACGTTCTCATTAATCATTCTTAACAGGACTATAAAACGAGCTTATCGACTTCTCCCCGTTGTCAGTTTTGGGCGGGAGTCATGGCGGGCAAGCTGGATTCCAAGCCCTCTTCCTCTGTGTTCCATCTCCCTTCGAATTTCTTTCATGCTTTTCGCCTGGTTCTTGACCTAGAAGATGACGATCAAAGCAGGCCATCACCATCAGACTCGAGCCATGGCTTGCCCGGCCATGTGCCAGAGGCCTCTGTATCAGGGCTAGGGTTATGGTTAGGGTTAGGGTTAGGGTTAGAGAGTAATGGAAAGCAGGGGATGAGGAGATGGTCCTGTAACACCTGCAAGTCTGAATTCGAGTCCCTCGAAGAGCAGCGATCACATTTTAAGTCTGATATCCATCGATTCAACGTATGTTGGCCTCCTTTCTCTGTGCCTTATCTTGAGAACTAATTCCTTTATGGATTCAATGAATATTTGTTTGTGTATGTGTATTATTGATTAATTTATTATATTGTGGTTTCTTGACTATTGAGTTCAACTACCTGTGCATATTTCCTGTTAAGTTTGGTTGTACTGTATGGTTCTCTTCATAATTAAAATATATGGCTTGATTGTTTAGAATTCACACATTGCGTCAATTCACATCATTTATTCATTTTAAGATTGATACTTAAACATTTGGATTTTTGGGGGCGAGGTTTATTAGTACTCTGCACAATTGGATTCGGTGGGTCGATCAAAATCTTGAAGGAGATAATTACTGCTGTCGTTAGAACATATATTTCGTCTGCTGCCTTCCGAAATGGAAAAAAATTGAACGTTGAAATTGAATATCTGGAACCCAGATTAGAACTTACTGACAAATTGTGATCTATTAATGTTACTACTGGAGTGAAAGTAAAAAATAACAAAAATGATGCATTTTCTAAACCATGTATAAACTACATCAAGATACGAAATGAATTCATCTCATGTAAAATGAAGGTTGGCAGAATAATTTAGTAAAAGCCACTATTTCATGTGAATGTTAAAATGTGGTCGTGTGGAACTTGTTTCATGGGAAGTGTGTCTTGAATTATAATCTGATCGTGTTTTCCGTATTTTTCGGTAGTGCATTTTGACTATGGTTCACCTAAACCTTTTGAAACTGTTGACATTGGATTAAGAGTAAAAGAGATTACATAATACAAAAGCACACACTTCTTGGCTAGAGGCCAAGAAAGATGATGTGCAAACCACAAAAAAGAGAAAACTATCACCTAAATTCACCATGCATTTCTCCCATGGCTAAATACCATTTTTTCTGCAACTAAATAACCATTACGTTACTAGAAGAAGTTTCTCTTTCACATGTTCTCACAACGAATTCGTGAACAAAGGAGATTTTCAATACATTACAAAAGACTTGGGTCTTAGGAGGTTCAAATTAATGGATACAAGTAAGTAGATAACACCAAAAAGATTTCTTAACGAGAAGCAAGGGCATTAAAATTAGTGAGTGTTGACTATAGAGACTTAATTTTAAACACCACAGCCCGAGAACATCCTGTATGGTGCCTCACTTCGGCCTACTTGGACTCTTGGTTGAAGCAAAGTGAAGATGATACACTAGTGCCTAATTTAAAAGCATATGGAAAGGTTTGGACCTGTTGGAGGTTGCTATCCCTTTCTCATTTGGTTATAATGATTTTTACATGATTGTTATAGGTAGTCAAAATCTCTTTCAGATTTGGAGTTCTGCCTTTTGTTTAAATGCAGTAATGTTTGGGATGCTTACTTGCTATATCCAGTTGCTTTTTTATTTTTTGGTTATTTGAGATAATTTGCTTGCCAGTGAAATGGTGGGTTCCAATTGTGTTCATCTTTTAAAAGCTTGTGTTCTCGATTTAGTGATGTTGTTTCTGTACAAAATCGTGGTGACTCTTGGTTTCCATTCTTAGGTTAAGTTAAGCTTGGCTGGGAAAAGCACGGTCAAGGAAGAAGATTTTGATGAGTTAGTTGGGGACTCTATGTCTAGAGATTATGAAGTTTCTAGTATATCTGGTTCAGAAGATGAGGGCGACAAGGAGCCTTCGCCAAATGCTGGTACCTTCGATGGCTTAGGGAAAGGCGAAAGAACTAAGCAAAGAATTTTCACTATTCTGAATTCTGGAAAAACGATTTCTATTTGGAAATGTTTGCTTTTGGGAGACCATGAAGATCTTTCATATGAGAAAAATAAATCTATTTCCCCAGAAAATGTTTGGTGTGCCAAATCTTTGGGTGAAGATGAGTTAATTAATAAATTGCAACATTTGGTATGTGAACCTCGCAATAAGACACATTTGAGGATTGTGCTGCTTGCAAGTGGTGGCCACTTCGCTGGTTGCGTTTTTGATGGGGATTCTATTGTAGCTCATAAGACATTTCATAGGTGAGAAGAAAGTGCTGTCTTCTTAGCTTTGCTAATCAATAAACTTTGCTACGCATTTGCAATCACATTGATTTCACGATTGTTCCTTGATAGGTGTTTCTAATATGTTTATATTATTGTTGGCTGTTGATAATGTTCTTATTTTGCTGTATGGAATTGGTCCCAATTTAACAACATTTTGTGAGTAACGCCCATTACTCATTGTAGTGTCCTTTGATGACAGTTGATTTGATGGTAATGTGGACATGAAATAAAATATCTATATGAAAATAGTGGATGTTTTATTTGGAATAAAACATCTAACTTAAGTCTAAGAAGACTGTTGTGAGGCTGTTATTTTCAAAATAGAATAATATTTTGAAATGGAAAGTATTTCAAAAATAGAATGGTAATATTTTCTTTCCCTTTCCCATGGTTTTCTGCTCTACCAGAATTTTTATGCAGTGGTAACAAGTTGACCCTACCTTGATGACGTTGATTTCCGTTATGAAACATCCATATGGAGATGGTTGTGAACATATCACCTACTTATTTTATTTTGTAACCTAGTTAAGGATTAACTATTTCTGGTTTCTTTGTTTATTTTGTGACCTGTGTTATTGTTATTTTGATTGAGGTCCTGTATGTTTCCTTTTAGCAAACCATATAGTGCTCCGCAACCATTCTCTCTCTTTGGTTTTGAGCTCTAAACATTTGCCTTTACTGCCTCTTAAGGGTGTTCATCATGTTCTATTAGTTAGTATCTGCATGTTTCTATGGTGTTTCCTTTTCAATAATATGTTTTTCTTTTTTCTTTGCTTTTTGAGATTGGTTCGCAAGTTTGTTGCAAGCTATACTTCTTTAGGAATATAAACAAGACAAAGTATTGCTTCCTCTTCAATTATTGTTTCTCTTTAATGTTGCGCCTAAGGTATGTAGTGAGGGCAAAATCTGGCAAAAAGCAGTCATCTAAAGATGGCACTGGTAAAGCTTCCAAATCTGCTGGAGCGTCTCTTCGCCGATATAATGAACTTGCATTGAAGAAGGTGAGTTTTTATATTCTAGATAAATTTTTTTTTTCGAACTGCAACTAATTTAGCTGGTGTTATGTTGGGCATTCTATGGCCTTAGAATGAATAGTCATTGACTATCTCTAGTGTTCTGGTAGTTTATGTCTCCAATGGGATCTACAGTTGTAGTGCAAAATACTTCGACTTCATTTTCTTCGTGGTGGATTTTTAATCCTTTCGTTCTTTATTCATATTTCTTTTGGAAATTAACAAGACAGTGACCATTCAACATATTTTACTTACATATCCAATTAAATTTGATATTTTAAATACCGAATTGGGTGAAAGAAAAAGGTCTGGTCAAGGGGATAAATTTGGAAATCTAAGTTTCTGAAACAACTGCATGACGAATGCAGGTGTTCCAAGCACTGTTTAGATACATTCCTTTTTTTTCCCTTTATTCTCCTATCTATTTACCTTTGAAATATCAAACCTTTTGTTAACAACTGTCTTCCTAATTTCATGTCACAGGAAGTTCAAGAGCTACTTGCTTCTTGGAAGCCTTACTTTGATGCATCAGTGTGCATTTTTGTTCATGCTCCTTCAAATAATCGTCAGCTGCTTTATGATGGTGAAAACTCAATTTTTGTTATCTTTGAGCACCTTATAAGGCGTGTACCAGTCACAGTCCGAAGGCCCACATTGAAAGAAGCTCGACGTGTTTATAGTCAATTGACACATATAATTTATGTAACAGAAGATCAGCGGGCAGAAAATGATACCAAAGAGAAGGAATCAACTGAAGAAAAAACTGTATCATGCGAGAAATATCTGGGCATACGGAAAATACTGGTAATTGTGAAGCGCCAATTGATATCAAATATTTGGAGGGGTCCACTTCGGTCAAAAATCAAGTCGTGGACACCTCGATTTCAAACAATGTGAGCAATGGGGAACCAGAGTTAACACCCCTGCATGAGGCAGCAAGCTCTGGCAATGTGCAAAAAACCCTAGAGCTTCTTGAACTAGGATGTGACCCATGTATTAGAGATTCAAGAGGGAGAACACCATATATGATGGCCACAGATAAAGAAGTAAGGAACAATTTCAGAAGATTTATGGCTTTGAACCTTGATAAATGGGACTGGCATGCGGCCAATGTGCCTAGTCCACTGACTAAGGAAATGGAGGAATCTCAAGCAGCTAAACAGGTAAATTTTTTTAGCTTCTTTTCAACCCATCAAAAAATGGGGAAATGTATGAGCTTGTTTTCTAATTTCTGGACCTATACAGCTGAAAAATTTAATGGGCTAAACTTATTCTGCATTTTGAACTTCATCTTTAGATCATTTTTCATCCTGAGTTACTTGAGTATCTTTGCTTCGCATTCCTCTTCTTATATAATGTTTACTTGTGATCCTCACATAGATGAATTGGTGATTGGTCCATAGCTTTGAGTACATAATATGTAACTGTCACAAAATGAATGTGCAGTCAGAGAAAGATGCCAAGAGGAAAGCTAGATCCAAGGAATTGAAAAAGCTACGAAAAGCTAAAGAGAAAGCTCAGGTCGGTTTTTCTTCATGTTATTACTCAGTTTCTCAAGTACCTTATATGATATGCTGAGTCACGTTCCCTCCATCTACTTCTTTTTTGTTATATGATGAACATCATGGTAATTTCCTCATAAGCTATAGAATACAAGGGTGTTTGTGCTTATGTGTTTGCTGTGAGTTGATTTAGGCCGTTTTCTGGTTATATCAACCTTGAGTTTGTAGATGGGTAATTTCTCTGCCACTTGAATTGTTCTGCTACATAGGTCACTTATAGTTACAAGAACGTTGCATAGTTTCTACCTCCTAGCCCTCAGCATATCAAGTTCATCGTGCTCATGGTAAAACTTTCAACATATTTAGTGGCTAATGTTGCCTGGAGCAGTCACAGCTGGAAACGTCATCCGAGGACTTCCTCATTTTTTTAGTGCTGAAACTCATCTGCTACAAGGTAGGTCTGTGTACATGTGTGTGTGCGTGTAAAGAGAAGAATAACATATCTTTTAGAGGGGTAGGCTTCGTCATCATCATTAGAGCCTTTTCCCAACTATTTGGGGTCGGTTATACAAATCTTGGTCTGCTATTATGTTCTATCAAGGCCATACACTCAATGAGGCCATAAGTCCCTATATCTTTTCTTACTACTTCTAATCATGCCTTTTTGGGCCTATGTCTTGCTCTTTTCTAGCGTTCCACATGAACTAACTCGCACTTATTAGGAGGTGCTGTATTGGGTTTGCGTTGCACATAGCCAGCCCATTTAAGTCTATTTTCTCTCATCGTATCGCCCATTAGAGCCCCACCTAAATTATTTCGAATGTTTTTAATTCGAATTGTATCCTTTCTTGTCTTACTGCTCATCCATCTCAACTACACTCGTCCTATGGGTATGTTGCTTCTTGACCGCCCAATATTCCATCATATAAAGTAAAGCTGGTCTCACAGTTGTCCTATAAAACTTGCTTTTTAGCTTCATTGGTATGCGGCGATCACATAAAATTCCAGTTGCACATCTCCACTTCACTCATACAACTCTAATTTTATGTGCGACATCTTCTCCAAACTCTTCATTTTCCTGGATTATCAACCCAAGATATCGAAAGTGCGCTTTTTTTGGTATTTTCTGGCCGTCAATCTTAACTAGTTCTTCATCTCTACTCCTATTATTACTAAACTTGCATTCTATATACTGTCTTAGTCCGGCTACTTTTAAAACCTTTAGTGGGGTAAAGCTTGAAAGGTAGTAATAGTAGAGTGCATTTAACATGGCCTTGATTTTATGGGCATTAGTCATGGAGCTAGTGGTCAAGGTTAGGGGACCTTATGAATAAGTGGGGAACCATTGTGTTTTGAAGCAACTCACTAGAAGGTCTGTGTGACCTATCAAAGTGCTCCAGTATGGCATCTCAAACTTAAACTACAAGGGTGGCTTATTTGAGTTGGAGCTCAGGGCTCAATGATATGTTGAGGGCAATGAACAATGAATTTGCAAGATAGAATTTACACGATAGAAAATGGTAGCAGGTTCACTAGAGTCACATTCACATATGTAATATAAATACAAATACTGTACAAATATTCAAATTCATATTCCATATTCATTTATAAGAAATAAGAGTTTACTGAACATTCAAAATAAATATGTTGAATATTTTCATTAACAATTAATTATTGATTAATAGAAAATCAAATTAGAATCTAAATAATTAAAATATAAAAAAGATAAATAATGTTACTTATCTACTAATATACTAAATTCTATTATACTAAATTAAAATAGTAATAATTTAAATAATAATCTGGAGTTACGAAGGAAGCTTCGGCCCATATTTGTCATGGTTTGAGAATGGGAGGTGAACTCTATGAGATCTAATCTCCCGTTGTTCCTTAGTAGCATAGTGGTAAAGCGGTCGGCTAAAAAATAATAATAATAATAATTTTAATTGAAAGTACCAATTTAATCATAATATCGAATGTGTAGAAGTTGAACATATGTAAATATATACTAGGGATCCTTAATCATATATCAAATGTGTAAATAGATACTATGGATCCCCTACTTTGATATACAGTAATGCAATATCTTGTCAACATTTCAAAATAAAATAATAAACAAAAGAAAAAATAGAGGCACATTCTAATTTAATTATGTTTTTTTATAAGATAATCTTTTGTTATAAGATAATCTTTTTGTCCCCCTTTTTTTCTTGCTAGCCTGCCAATTGTAATTATCTTTCCAAGCAGCTGCTTGTTGACTTCAGCTTATTGTTCATTTACATTCCCAATGCTTCAACCAACATGGTGCTTCTATTTGTCTATTGATGTTCTTTCTCCTTATGTTCTTTCTCCTTCTTTGATATATTGTATCCCTAGGAAAAATTATACATAAAAGTTTCCTTTTGATATTCTGAATCCATGCACCTTGCTATACACTTTACATTTATACATGAGGTTCGATTGTGCAGGCTCAGGCCCCATCAGCAGCCCCTCCACAGATTTCGACTGTTTCTGATGGTCATATGGTTGTTTCCATGCCGCAACATAAAGGGGTAAATGCACTCGTTTCTAGTAGTGGGGCAAAGTTGTCGCAAGAGGTTAGTGCAATATTTGTATTAATAAGAAGTTATCTTTACATTCTTGTTCAGAAAGAGCATGCAACTGCCAAGAGTGATATTTGGGAAAATTTTGGATTCATTTAGAGAAGGCATCAACCGATGACATATTATTCAGCAAACTGGGGTTCAAATTTCTTTTGGTGGAGATCTAGGTTGTTGCCATTTAAACATGGAAGAAGTTTATATAGGGGTGGGGCCCTAAACAATCAAATTAAGGCACACCTAAAAAATTCACTAAAACAGGTTGTTTTGATACCCAAAAATCCTTAAATCGATCATCTCGACCTCAGATGTATAAACATGAGAAAAAATAGGTTTGAAGTATTGGAAATACTACATCTTGTAATGTGTTTTCTAGAATGTCAATTTTCATTTTAGACTATTTTTGAAGCCTTCAATTTTACAATTAGATGTGAAAATAAATTTTCAGGCCATTATAAAGATTTCTAGTACTGAAATAGCATCTTTCAATACTATTTCAAGGTGCGCCTTACTTTGATTGTTTAGGGCCTCAGGCCTTATACAAAAACTACACCCTTTAAACATTCAGTCATATCCTGGGAACATCCATGGTCATCCACATCATGGTTTTAGCTTGAATTTGCCAGTATTGCTGCCCAAGATATTCAGTTCTAAAGCTGTTTTTTAAAACTTGGACAGTATTTCGTTCTATAATTACCTTTTAGGCATAATATTTTGTTCTATAATTATTGAGCTACATTTTGGGTAAGCAGGAAGAACTAAAGAGGGAGAGGGAAATAGAAAGAGAAAAGAGGGCAGCCGCAGCTGAGAAGAGGATCGCTGCTCAAAAGGGTGCTCTTGTAACCAGCTCAACTGCTATTCCAGATAGCAGCTTGGGAGCCAAAGGTATGATGAGTGATGAAAAATGTTCATGTTGCATGGCTTCCTTAGCTGGAAAAATCCCATTCCATAGGTACAATTACAAATATTGTAGTTGCTCATGCATGCATGTGCATAGAGAAATCTTAGAGGATGGATAGCCATCCCTCATTCATTTTCACCATCTAATGTACCTCTCTCTCTCTCTCTCTCTCTCTCTCTCTCTCTCTCTCTCTCTCTCTCTCTAGTTTAGTTCCTGCTAAGTTTTTTGGTTCAAGTTTAATGAATATTGTTGCACAAAAATGAATAAACATTTATGATCGTATATGATGTTAAGATGTATATGCCATTAATTAAAGTTGTTTAGTAGGCTTGCAAGCTTAAACAATCCAATAAAGAGCTCATCCAAAGATGTAATTTTGGTGCTGAAAATTTAAATAATGACCTGAAAAGCTACTTAACATCTAATTATGAAATTTTAATTGGAAAAATGGTACAGATTAGTTAGATCTACATGGATGGTCAAGATAATGTATTATAAGACATACCATTTTTTATACTTTAAAATTTTATTTTTATTTTGTCTCTCCTGAGGGTTTTGCACCATCGAAACAACTTTTTTTATGGATTTTTTTATGCGTGCCTTCTTTCTACAATTTAAGGATGCAACCTTATTTAAACTTTTCCTTAATTACAGTTAGGCACCAAGGTAATTGTGGCTCGCTATGTAAAAGTAATTAATTTGTTCTCCACATAGCACGACCTAGTAATTTGAAAATCCTTGTGTGGAACACTAATACGACTCTTGACTTTGCACAATTAAGGAAGGGTGACGTTTGTATGAGGTCTAAACCTTATACTATTCAAGCAAGGTGCGCTTTAAAATGATGCTGAAAGGTATAGTTGAAGTGTTGGAAATTCTTGCGATGGCATGAAAATTTATTTCATCTCTAATTATGAAGTTTAAAGCTCTAAAAATGATGTAGATTAAGTATTTTGAAAACGGATGATCTAGATAATATGTTACTAGATGCATTATTTTCGTGCCTCAAAATCTTTTGTTTTTTTTTTAATTTCATATTATGATCTTCTATAAAGAGTTATCCAAGAATCAGTCGAATGCTTCCGCAACTTTGCCTAAATCCTTGCAGGAATTGATTTCTGAAGTTCAACTCCTTGATTTCCAAATCCGTGGAGGAATTAATTTGGTTGAGTTTTGAGTTAACTAATCAGACCAAGTTTTTTTATACAAAAGTGTCAACCTTGCCCCCTGAAAACCCCTCAAAAAAAGTTGCCTCGATACCGGAAAACCCTCTAGTTATTGATCTTGACTTCGAGACATGGGGTTTAAGGTAGGGTTGAGAATGGGTCGGATTGGGTTCAGATCCTTTGGGATTTGGATTATGAAATTATATATAATATTTTAATAACCGGGTCGGATCTAGATTGAAACGCCAATATTTAGATACGATCCAAGTTACTATTTGGACCCAATTTTTTGCTTCGGATCCGACTCCTCGGATTCAATCTTGGATCCATACCCAAATCTGGATAAGGTCTAAAATTCAGGTTTTGAATCCAAACCGGGCAAAATTCTCAGCCTTAGTGGGTTTTCCTTTTTGGTGCATTAATGCATGCCAAAAAATTCAGGCAATGTCACCATTGTCACTAGTGAAAAACTAGAGAGCTCTCACGGCTATATTTTTTGGTTGTGGCTTAAATAAGGTTGCAACATTAAACAATCAACTTAAGGTGTAGCTCCAAACTTTGTCATGAAATGCAATTTTGGTGTTGAAAATTCGTAGGATGGTGTGAATGTTTTTTTAATTTTTATATCTAATCATAAAATTTTAAACTCCAAAAATAATTCAAATCTAGTAGGTCTACATAAACACATGAAAATTTTGAAAATAGACGGTCTAGATGATATATTGCAAGATGTACTATTTTTAGGACTTAAAATCTTTTTTTTTTTTCTATATCTATGCATCTCGAGTTGACCACTTGGATATTTTTCTAACATCAAAACAATATTTTTTGATGGATTTTAGAGGTGCACCTTAATTCTATATTTAAGGTGCCAACCGTATATAAGATTTTTCCTTATTTTTTTCTTCTAAAAATTCGTAGAAAAAGTTGGGCCTTTGTGATTCCCAATCTCACGACATTTCCACTAGAATCTACCTGATTGATGCTAATCTGGGCCATTTTTTTTTTTTTTTTGCATTAAGCTTCCTTCTCACTTATGGCTGATTATGGCTGATTGGTAGTAGTCTCTTCTCACTCTCTATCACCCTCAAACACACCAAAATACTATCTATACACACGCAATAAAAATACTACTGTAACAAATTAATCTCCATCGATGTGGTTTATTGAAGGTGTCAATCTTAAACAATCAAAGTACGACGTATTCCCAAATTCTACCGGTTTCAATGTTGGTAATTTTATGATGACCTAAAATTCTACTTCCACTCCTAGTTACAAAATTTAAATCTTCAAAAACGGTGTAAATTGAACAAATTTATAAATACTTGAAAATTTTGAATATAGATAGTCTAAATTGTGGCGTATTGAATCTATAATCCCCGACAAATTGATTTTTGGTAAACAAAGAGCAAGAAAAAATATAACATAAATAATGTATTACAAGATGATTAAAAGTGTTTTTTTTTTTATATTAATATATCTCGAGGTGAAGATGATCAAAGTCTTTCGACATCAGAACAACTTTCTACTGTGGGGGTTTTTAAAATGAACTTTACTTCTATTGCCTTATATAATATAATAAACCTTTTTAAATGACAATAAGCATGAAAAGAAGTTGATTCAATGTCGCTTTCTCTTTTCATTTGATAGAGCAACTAGCTTTACGAATCGTAAGATTGTTAGTTGGATTCACATTCATTGATGTTGTAATAAATGTAAAAAAGGGTGAGAAAATCGTAAGATTGTTGGTTAGATTCATATTCATTAATGTCGTAATAAAAGTAAAAAAGCCTGAGAAGATTAAATAAGGGCTTGTTAATTGGTTAGACAGTTTAACAGTTCTGACTCTTTTGAAAATGAAATACAACCATGTTTAAAGCAGGGACTCTTAGAAAAAGAAAAAAAAAAAAGAGCTCTATTTAATAAGAAAAAGTTTATATAAGGTTTACTGTACAAGGTACATCTAAAAAACCCATTAGTTAAGGTTGTTCTTATGGTGGAAAACCCTCAAATTAGTCGTCCCGACATAGAGATTCATACACATGGACAAAAAAAAAAAAAGGGCATATCTAGTCTTAAAAATAGTTCATTTTCTAATGTATTATATGGACCATCCATTTTCAAGATTTTCATATGTCTATAGATATGCTTGATCGTCATCATTTCTGGAACTTTAAATTTTATAATTGAGGAAATCAATAGATTTTCATATCTTTGAGGAACCAAATTACATTTTCGACACAATTTTGAGGTGCACCTTACTTCAATAGTATAAGGTTGACACCCTATACAAACCTCCCCTAATTAATAATATGAATATGAGATGCTTTCCTTTCTCTCTCTCTAACAGTGTCTCTGATATCGAAATTCGATCAGTTCATTTTTTTCCTTTTACCTTGGTGTCTACCGTTTCTATTTGAATTCTTTGGCTCACGCATTTTTATGTCGTTTCTTCCTCTCCATCTATTGATGCTCCCTTGGGAGCATAGTCTATGTGGGATATTTTTTCTCAATCTAAAATTTTGGGAACTATCTAGAATCAATTGATGATTATGATTGAAAGTAAACATTTGAAATTTGAGTTTTCTAACATTTAGATCTCACCATCTAAGAATTGGACGATCTCTACTCAATTTTGAGATTATTTTTTTCAATTGCATAGAAGGTGAAATTATTATAAAAAAAAAAAATTATCGAGGATAATCTATGAATTGAAGATGTGACATCTCCAAAATTTGGGGTCCTAAAATTAATATTAGATGAGGTTTTATCTGAGGGAGTATATGAACAATATACTTCGGTGGAAGTTAAAATAGATTGTTTTAGATCCACGACTGTTAAGCTATATGTGACTGCGATGTTGGAATTGCATTTTATCTAGAGATTTGAGATGCAATTTTATAAAGTTGCAACGCTATAAAATACTGTCCCTATATTAGTAGTGACTTTTTCAGGGAAATGGATAGATTAAGGACAAGGCTTTGTGATAAAAACTAAGTTTGCACCTGAAATCTCATCCAATTGATCATTTTAGCCTACAAAAAATGATTTTAAACCTTAAATTTAGTATATCTTATAACATATTAGTGTATCTTATATACCATATTAGTGTTTCAAAAAAAATTTGACAAGATATTAGTGTTTCAAATTTCATCGGTCTTGATTGGATATCATCAATCCAGCTTGAAAAGCAACAAAGAACAATCTAATTTCTAGTCGAAACTAAAAACCGTTCCGATTCATATAGACTGTCGCCCAGTTTCATGAGAAAACCTGATAATTTGGACTAGAAGAGAAGGGCAGCAACCACACAATAGTGAGAGAACTGAGAGAGAAATAGGGGTGGCAATGGACCTGGACTCGGTCTAGCTAGGGGTCTAAAAGTTAGATCCGATGGGTCGGGTCCGATAATATTTTTAATATATTTAAATATAGTTAAATACATGAGTAATTATCCTATGAGATCCTTTCACACCCATATGTGTAGAACTTCAAAGAATCACCATTAAATTATCACTAGGATGTAGGACTTGACTTTTCTAAATATTTGTGCCAAATTTAATAGTGAACCTTTGGAGTACTACACACATAAGTGTAAGAAAGTGATCATTACTCCTAATACATAGATATTATAACTTTTGATTTGGGTCCAATCATGTCTGGGTTCCACGCTGTATTTTCAAGTCCAGATTTAGGTCTGGTAAATTCAGATCGAGCTGGTTTCGGGTCTGATATCATTTTTTGAGTCCAAGCCCCGAACCAACCCTACATGTTGCCACCCCCTAGAGAGAAAGAGGTGCATGCCCCATGACATGCAAGAGAGATGAAAAAGAAACCCTAAAAGATGACCCTGAAAAATGACATTGTTGAGGACCATACAAAAGGGCCGAACCAAATATAGAACACCAGAATTTCGTTTTCTATAGAGGTGACATGGGCCACGGGCTCACAATTAGGTCTTTTTGTTTTCTTTATTCTCTACAATTGATGTAATTAATTAATTGCCCTACTAAAAGACCATATGCCGACATAATTCAAAGTTTTGGACCTCAGGAATCTAATAATTCGTCGCCTTCCAGCTTTCCTGTCGATCCAACGGTCATGGTCTCTTCATCGTCTACCGATCTAGTCCCGATCCGTCCGATCAGATCGAGATAGGCATCATTTATTGACCAATGAATTGCCTCTTCACATTCTCTCTCTATGATCTCCGATTAATCACTTGTCTAATTCTGTCTCCTATTTTTCTCTCTCTAACCGTCCGACCAAATCTCTCTCTCTCTAACCAATCGCTTCTCACATTCTCTCTCATGATCTCCGATTCATTCAGCACTTCCCTCTCTCTTTCTCATCTCTCTTCTCTCTCTCTCTCTCTCTCTCTCTCATATTATTAAGTATTAACAAAACCTTCCCATCCCTCCCAATCCAAAGCGCAGGTTTGTTTATTTTAGGGTTTTTAGAGAGAGAAGAAATGGCGAATGTAGAGAGAGAAGAAATGGCGAATGTAGAGAGAGAATAAGTAGGAGACGAACACTACAGAGTCTCTTCGGGCCTTTCTTCCTGCGAAAGGAGCCCTGTTTTTGCAGGACAGGATTAGGGTTTGACGACGAGGATCCAATGGCCAACGTATAGAGAGAATAAAAATATAAGATAAGTTAAGGAGTCGTTAACTTTGATTTTCCATTGAGAAACCAGCATTTGCAGGCCGGATCTAGGGTTTTCAGAAGCAGATGCCGCATTAGAGAGAGAACAGGGTATGCTAAAAGAGGCGAAGGTTCTTTGTGCTTTGCAGCTGCGGAAACGTGGATTTGCAAGTTTGACCTGGGGCTTTCACTGGATCGTTGATGAACGTGGGGGGAAACAGAGTAAAGAGCAGAAATCCTTGGAGCACGGGAGAAACAGAGTAACTCTATCTCGTTATCAGAAGCTCCAGATTTGCAGGTGAGATATCTCTTTTAACCCTAAAATTTCATGTTTGATATTTCTCTGGCATCCAAAGCGCTTAGAATTGTAGTCCCGATCTAGGATTTGCTGTGTACTGTGGATGCCTATGGTGGACACTGACTAGCAACAGTAAAGAAGAAGACAAGTAGATAGGCATTTGTAAAGAGAAGAAAAGCACAACGTCTTCCAGAATACTAGAAACCCTAGATTTTCAGTTCTCAATCGAGCTCTGCTTCAGAATCCATGGCGGATATAGAGAGAGAATAACAAAAATAGAGCCTTCACAGGGCTTCATCGAGGAGCAACAGAAATCTCAGATTCCCCTTCCTAAACCAGTTAAAAAGGCCCAATATTCATAGCTCCAAGCTGTTAAAACCTAAATTAACAGGCCCTAAAGGCTCTGTAATCCCAGTTTCGGACCTCCTACATCCCAAACCCTATTTCCTCAGTTCATTAACAAACGACTGCATCAATGACAGAAGGCCATGGCTGGACAACGCGACGAGGAAGCAACCCTAAACTCGAAGAAGCCATAGACATTCCCCCGACACCAACTGGTGACATCAAATATGGAGCCAGTTTCCCTGCAACTCAAGACCTAACCACTGGTTTGATCATTGCTTCATGGTATGCTTCGAACATAGGAGTCCTCCTCCTCAACAAATACCTTCTAAGCTTCTATGGCTTTCGATATCCCATCTTCTTAACCATGCTACATATGGTCGCCTGCTCTGTCTATAGCTCCATAGCCATTCACTGGCTCGCGATTGTCCCCCCTCAAAACTTAGTTTCTCGACGCCAATTCCTCAAAATTTTTGCGCTCTCTCTCATATTCTGCTTCTCTGTAGTTTGTGGGAACACATCGCTTCGGTATTTACCTGTCTCTTTTAACCAGGCAATTGGGGCCACTACCCCATTTTTCACTGCTGTTTTTGCGTTCATTATCACTTGTAAAAGAGAGTCACCTGGTGTTTATCTAGCTCTGTTACCTGTGGTTTTAGGCATCGTTGTAGCAAGCAATAGTGAGCCCCTTTTCCATCTGTTTGGATTCATTGTTTGCCTTGGCTCCACAGCTGGTCGAGCTTTGAAATCAGTGGTTCAAGGCCTATTGCTCACCTCTGAGGCTGAAAAATTACACTCTATGAATTTGCTCTTGTATATGGCTCCAATGGCTGCTTTGTTATTGCTTCCGTTCTCTCTCTTTGTAGAGGGAGATGTAGCGAGTGTAGCTTTGGCAAAAGCAAGGGTTGATCCCATGATTGTAGTTCTTTTGTTGGGCAATATGACTGTTGCTTATCTTGTGAATTTGACGAATTTTTTGGTAACAAAGCATACAAGTGCGCTTACTTTGCAAGTTCTTGGTAATGCAAAGGCAGCAGTAGCAGCTGTGGTTTCGGTGTTGATTTTTAGGAACCCAGTTACCGTGATGGGAATGACAGGTTTTGCAGTGACAATCATGGGTGTGGTTCTTTACAGTGAAGCAAAGAAGAGGTCGAAGGTTCCACATTAGGTGGTTAGTGAGAGACGATGGGGGAGAAATGAATGGGTTATTGAGTTTTTCTGATATTGAGAAATGGTTAAAAGGGTTGTTCAGATTTTGGATGGATTAGCAAGTGCGGATTTGGAAGAATTAGATGTTGGGTTACCAATCAAAAATTAAAAAAAACCGGGAAGGAAAGAAAGAAAGAACTGGAGGCTGAGTCCTTTGGCATGAGCATCTCTCTCTCTCCCTCTCTCTCTCTCTATCTCTCTCTCAATGAGGAGAGAGAAAGAGTGGGTTGTTACAGGTTTCGGATGAATTGGAAGCTCTGATTTGTTGGGTTTGGCACGAGCATATTGGCAGCGTTTTTTTTCGATTCTTTGGATTTGTTGAAGTAATCTCTCTCTCTCTGTAATTGATTTCCTGCTACTGTAATTGAATTTTTTGTTTGAAAATTCTTTGGAGGAGAATTTTTTGTTTAATGGGGAGGAAGAGGAGAAAGAGAAAGAATTTAGTATAAACTTGGCTGTAAAGCCATTGGCGGATAACCCTTCTTCTAGATGTGGCCCTGATCGTAAGCTGGCTTGGGGCCCACTTTGGCCTTTAAATTGTGTCTATCTGGTTCTTTTTTTCGGTGTTCTTATTCTAAATGACAAAAGGTATTTGTTAGCTGTTATTCTTTTTCAATTTTTTGATCTGGTTTTTGGCTTCTCCTTCACGAGTTTCAACCTATTCTTCTTATAAAAAATTTAGGAGGTAAGCTTTTCAATTTGTGATCCTTTTGTTATTTTGCTTTGCTATTACCTTCATTGATGCAGTGACGGCCATCTATACTATGAACCAAATTATGACCTTGGTTTCCTTCTTTTAGAAAACCGAAAATAAAATGGTTGCAAACTGATGTGTCTTAAGAGTTTTAAGTTTATGGATAGATATAAAGTTTCAAAATGGGTGGTGTAAGAGTGTCAAGAAATAGATAAAAAGTTTCAAAAAAAAAAAAAATGTCTTTGGGACTCGCCCCAAGCCATCCAATTGGACATATCTAATGATTGGAAATGATTAGGACCTTATGTACAAAAGATAATTGGCCTCTTTATTGACTTTCCCTTTATACATTATTTTTCCTTTTTTTATCTGTCCCATTTCTTGATATTTTACATCATTGTGGTAGTATGGCATGTGGCTGGAAAATGGGTTCTCTTCTTTATTTCTATGAGATGAACATTAGAGCCATAAGAAGAATAAATGTTGCCAGAGATATATGCACAAATTAGAAGAATAATGTTGCCAGATATATATGCACAAATTTTCAAATTAAGGTGTACCTCCAAATTTTGTCATAAATGTAATTTTTGTGTCAAGAATTTTTAGGGTGGCTTGAGATTCTACTTTCATCTCTCATTATAAAATCTTAAACTTCAAAAATAGTAACAATGAAGTAGTTATGTGGACACTTGAAAATCTAAAAAATGGACGGTCCAGATAATATGTTGCGAGATATACTATTTTCACGACTCAAATCTTTTTTTCTTTTTATATTCATACATCTAGATGTCGAGACGATCAATTAGAGGGTTTCCCAACATTGAAACAACATTTTATGATAGGTTCTTGAGGTGAAAGTTAATTATACATTTTAAGGTTGCAACTTTATATAAACTTTTTCATTTTAAAAAGCTAACATCTATTGTGTTGTTTCAAGAGCAAATTGGGCATTCGCTCCTTTCAACAAGAGAGCTATTTAAGTGGATTTTTTTGGATCTCGAATTATTGGGGTTTGTTTAATCTCGAGTTTACTGGGTTGCACATTAGAATTGCCTTTCAAGTATTTTCAATAAAAGTAATTTGGAATTTAACACTTTGATCTAATCGTTCAGTTTCTTGATAGACACTTTTGTTTGTTTTTTTTGTTCTCTCCTTATCTGAGGTTGGTCACTACCTTGAGGAAGTTACATTCTCAATAGTGAGGGTGTTGAAAATAATCACATTCTTAATATTGAGGGTCCTAAAAATATTCCTAGACAGGGTCCGCAGGAAGAGAATGAGAGCATATAAGAAGTATGCTAGATGGAACACTCAAAACTTGTTCGAATGTATCTCTATAAGGTGTCAATCTTACACTATGGAAGTAAGGTGTACCTCATTCAAAACTTCTTAAAATGTATTTAAGGAATACCTTTATAAGGTGTCAATCTTATACTATGGAAGTAAGGTGTACTTAAAAAATTATCTTGGAGAGAGTTTTTTTGTTGTTGGGAAACCTTTTAATCGATCATCTTAACCTCGAGATCAATGGATATAAAGAAAAAAGAATTTCAAGTGCTAAAAATAATGTATATTGTAACATGTTAATTAATTTGTTATCACCATCAAAGCTTTATCCCAATGATTTGGGGCTGTCTACGTGAATCATGTTTTTCAATTCTTTTATTTTAAAGATTCATGATAAGATGTGGTAAAGTTATTATGTTAGCTGCTTACTTAGCGCAACCCAGTTCTTTTACCTTGGGATAGGTTAAGGGAAGCTTAAGGTCATCTTCTTTATTAAACCAATATTGTAACATGTTAATTAGATCGTTTAGTTTCAAGATTTTCATGTGTTTATAGATATGTTTGATGTAGATTATTTTTAAAATTTAAAATTTTGACTGGGAATGAAAATAGATTTTCAAGCTATCATGAACTTTTTAATGGATACCTATTTTCCAAGGCTTATAGCAAAATGGAAATTGTTTGTCCCCTTTGTCTTAAACAACCTTAAGAGGAGAAACGCTATTGAGCACTTCAGTTTGGACTTTAAATCAAGAAAACAATTTAGTGCAGGAAAGGCTTTTCTTGCTTCCATGCATGCGTACCCTTCTTACTTCACCTGATGTAGGAGTTTAAACCATTTTGAAACTTTTTCAAATCCATTTCACTCTCAAATCCATGAATTTCAAACTCGAAAAACAATCCAAGATTTTGAAACTCTAAAATAGTGTAGACTTAATGGCCTATAAAGAATTTGAAATAAATGGTTGAAACAATGACACAAGATGAATAATTGAAATTTCTTTTCGAATTCATGGTTGTGGTGGTTTTTTCTCTCTGTTTTTCTTTTTTTTTATTTAGTAGTGGGAGTAAAATTTTTTATCTATTGTATGAATATAACTCAAGACATTATATTGTGGCGGCCCCTCTCCAAGACCACATATTTGTTTTGAGTCCTCAATACTTCTGGAAGTTAGATTTTAAAAGGCTTGATGCGTGCCTTTAGAAATGCAATGCAACCTCCCCTAAAAACTATTACTTTTTAACAATTCAGTGAAGAAAAATAAAAAAGTATATTACGTTGGCACTTTAAGTTGCTACATTCCAACAGCATCGGCCCAACCATCAGATGTTAAAAGGGTGGCTTGTGTTGTTCTTGCACTCATAGTCAATTTGGACTCATTATAGGACACTCTTAAGCGCTAGAATAGCATGTTTTTTGTTCCAACTTAAGGGTTGATCACTGGGCCTCTAGGTGCAAAATGAATGCCTTGTTGATTGACGAATTAAGGGACCCATGGGAGAGAGAGGGGTGTGTGTGCCAACTTTTTGGATTTAAGTGGCCTTTAAAGGCCATAAGAAAGCTTTTATAAGCATTTTATATAGTGAAATATGAATCTGAGGGGAGTGTAGTCCTCTTGTGGATCATATTAGGCAAATGTTATTTGTTGATACTCGGATTGAGCTTGACGTGCTAGGTCAGTCGGGTTGGAAAAACCCAAAATACTTGGGCTTAGAGTTAAAACTGATGAGGGTTCTTTGGGTAGTCCTCGATGAGGTTAGAGTTATGCCCGGATGAGTGATTCGATGGACTATGTGGCACTTGTGTGTGATAGTTGGCCTTTAGAGACATAGCTAAAACCTCATAATAGTACCATCACATGGCATGTACATCGATAGACGTATTGAGATTATAATCCACCATTGAGGGTGAAGCGTATACATTTGAGAAAGACTACCCCTATGCACCATGGAGCTGCAGTTGCATCATGGTTTAGAAGACCATGGATTTGTCCCTAGGGGAGAATCTAAAATTTATAAACGAATTACGTCCCCTAGGCTATTCGCTAACTTTGGACTTTGGGGGATTACGTCCCCTAGGCTATTGGCTGACTTTGGGGGATTATGTCCCCTAGGCTATGGGCTGACTTTGGTGGCTCAATCATGAACCCCTACAGTAGACTGTAGGTCATGGGAACTGCTTGGTCAGTTTGAAAAAGCTAGTGTGGATTGTTGTTTATAGTTGAAGGTAGAGTGCTCTGGTATATTGATAATTCCTAGACCTATACGGATCCGATTCCCATTAAAATCAATTAGTTTTAATTAATTTTATATTATATAATTTTTAGAATGATTATTTGAATTTTTGTGATTCTCTTGATATTTTATATTTGTCAAGAGAAAATCAATTTTCATTGTTTTAAATAAACTAAAAAAAATAAATTATTTTTGCAAAATTCTAAAAATCAAATTTAATATTTTCTAAGAATATGTGGGACCCTCCTTAAGATATGGGGCCCATTTCATTATACATTGAAGATTGGGTGGGGCCCAAGAGGGGCACCTAGGGTGGCATGCACCACCCATAGGGAGCTTCTAGTTACTAAATATTGTAAGGAAGCCCCATGCTAGTTAGGTTTCCTTTTTAGCGTGAAGCCTCCTTACATAACGAATCAAATAAATTAAATTTAGTATGTCTTATATATCAAGATATTTTGATTGAATAAATAAGAAATAAATATTCATTAAAAGAAAATGTATAATTAATATTTTCTTTATTTGAATATTTGATGGGAATATATTTAGGACATGGATGATAAAGTTCTAACACTTTCCTTTAAATCTTGATGGTGAATCTAAAGAATAAATAGCTCACATCTCTCACTTCATAAGTATCCTTACATCAATGGTCTAGATTTGATCTCACTAAAAAATGACAAACCCTAAAGCATACAAAATATATAATTAGAGGCTCTCCCCCCTCATATTTCTCTACAGCTCTCCTCTTCTCTCTTCTCTCTCTAAAGGGTTCTCTCTTTAGGGGCCACGCCCCACCTTGGGTTTTCTCTTTCTAATTCGTTCAAAAAAAGGGGAGCCATACCCAAGATAGCTATTTCTCTCTCTTGGCAGGTTCTAAAAAGGGGGGCACGACCCAAGTAAGAGATTCTCTCTCTCTCTCTCTCTCCTCACTNTCTCTCTCTCTTCGTCGTTCGTCGTCGTCGTACGTACGTACGTAC